ATAGAAACAATTAATACGCTTTTTCAGTTGATTGAAGCAATTCTGTGTGCATATGAAAATCAGCAGATTCTGCTGCTTACTGTAATTCTGCTTGATTAGAAAAAGAACTCATTTTTTTAAACAGGCTGTGATCTTAATAAGACTCTCAGAACCTTCCTGTCCTCTGCAGGCCCCTCAAAATTAAACGTGACATTGGTGGTTGTTAACTTTGTTTGCTTGCAATGCGTGTGACAGTCTTTGAGGCAGCTTTAGGCATGGAGATAAAAAGCACCTGGATTGTATTTGAGTGTTGCACAGAGTGTGTGTATGGATGGCATTGAACACTGGTCTCAGCTTCGGGGAGAAGTTACACAAAATGGCCTTTATAGGCTGTTGTTACTGGATGTTAAATTTCTATCTTGAATAATCATGAGGAGCTTCACAAGAGAGCTGTGGAAATCTTTGTCCTCATGGGATCACCTTGTAATAGCATCCAGGAGGAATACTGGTGCTAACCTGAGAGAACTTGGAGGAATTATAGAATTCCTCCTCTGTTTGCACTAAGAGGAGCAATTGGAATTAATTTCATCTTGACATGTTATAAATGTTATCTTTTCTATAGGGCAGAAGCTAAGGTCAGATTTTTTTCTTCTTTTTTGACCAGTAATTTACAAGTTTTAGTTTCTGACATGTCCTTGTGTAGAATGCCCTGACAAGGAGTTGTGGAGCATTTCAGGAAAAGCAGATGTCCTTCAAAAACCTCCTGCCCATTAATCTGTTACACTGATTATTGAATCATTAGTCAGATTTTGCCTTTTTTCTCCATGTTTTATCCAAATGTTTTTCAAAATGTATCTCAAAAGGGTTTAGGGAAGCAGCATAACCTTACTGGTTATGCTTTTGTTTTGCAAACTGGCAACAGTTAACTTGGGTTTAGGGTTTCTCTGGTACTGTGGAATAGGAACAGTAAAGTTGTGGGAGAGGTGGAATTTTTCAGTGTTATTGGCCTTTCCCATTACCAATCAAATCTGAATTCTACTCAGAGTGGCAGGACACTCTTTTGATGTTTGGACAAAAACCTACATAAAATGACTCTGTATTTGCAAAAAGGAGTGGCAGGGACCTTTGATGTTGGACAAAAACCTACATAAAATGACTCTGTATTTGCAAAGAACCTCTTAAAACACCTGTGGTGATACAAACCCTAAATAGATGAGAAGTTTGAAGGAGCTGGAGACTGATAGAACAAATGTGAAGTCAGTAAATGCAAGTTAAATGAAGTGCAGTGTTTGTGGTTATAAACCTTGGGAATAGCAGTTAGGTCATGTAATCCAGACTTCAATGCAGGAATTACTCTTAACAGTTGTTTTCTTTGCCCTTTTAAGCTGTGTCAGTCTAATTGAAGTCAGAGCTGGAGAGCTTGGGGCAGGGTTAAATCCCTCAGAGGTGGCGAGTCACAAGTGCTGCAGAGAAACCACTTGGGTGTCAGCTGAACTGGGAAGTGAAAGATGGGGACAAAAATCCAAGGGTTTAGTTCTTATTTTCTTGGTGTAAACTGCCAAGGACTAAAATAGGATAAGAAATTGCCCATAGCAGTTAGTCATGTGTTTCCCTCTGGAAACAGGCTGGTTGTGCAGAAACTTTCCATAAAGCTGCACACAGTTGCAGCATAGAGAAATCAGGTAATTTTTTGATGGTAATCATGTGGGGATGGGAGTAAGACTTAGGGTGGGATTAAACTGTGACTTCATGTGATGGCCATGGCTGCCTGTTACACCCCTAGGTGTAACAGAGAGTGGGCTGGGAATTTCCAAATTGTCTGTGCTTCTTGATTTCTTTCTGTTTCCTTCTGGTTTCTTGCTGATCTTTGACTGCTCTTTTCTTCTGTATGCAAGGCTCTCTGTATATGTGTGTATTTAGAGATGGAATTTTTATCCATGGGGTTTTAAAAGAAATGGTTTTTGTTCTGAGTAGATGGTTCCTGTCATTCCAGGCTGCAGATGCTGGAACCCTTTGCTGATGCCTTTTCTTTGTCAACAGTTAATGATCCATCATGTTGACAAACCTATCCTGAAAAAATTAGTTATGTACATCCCATAACATGAACAGCATCTACCTAATTTTCTTCCTTGGCCTCTTTAGCTGCTATTAAATGTATTCCTAAGGTAAGGAATATCAGAATGCAATTGAAGTGTAGTAATGCTACCAGAGGTTCCCCTTTCATAATAAAGGAATATTTGTCCAGATTTGGGCCAAGCCTTTCCCAGCAGCAGGGCTGACCTGGCAGCATCACTCAAGACTTTGTGTATCAAGCTCAGTTTTCATTTCCCAAAACTGATGCCTTGGGGTTTTTTTAGGTTATTTTACTGATGGCTCAGCTTCTCCTTACAAGTCTGTATAACATTTCTGTACTTAAAAATAATTTTTGAAGTCTTGACCTATTTAAAAACTTGTGACCTTTTCTTCCTGATGGAACAAACTCATCCCTGTGAGGGTGATGAGGCCCTGGTACAGATTTGCCAGAGAAGCTGTGGCTGCCCCTGGATCCCTGGAAGTGTCCAAGGCCAGGGGGGCTTAGAGCAGCCTGGAACAAGGGAAGATGTCCCTGATGCAGGGGACAGAGGCAGGGGGTTGAATGGGATGAATTTCCAAGTCCCTTTCAAATGAAGGCAGTCTGTGATTATGTGATTCTCTTTTATCTCTCTTTGGAGGAACTTGATATCCAGATGCTGTGTGTGAGATGATGTTCATTGGTTCAGAAAGGATTAGACTCCCAGCTCTATTTTAGCCTAGTAACTTCAGCCTTTAATAACAAAGTAAATGTTGAGCAGCAGTGTGAAATAATTTTCATGCTGTTCCATTCTCCCAGGGTTTACTTGTAGAAGCTTTCTTTGGCTTGGGAAAATACTCCCTCTCCTTCAGTGAGATGCTGCTGCTGTATCAGCCAAGGGAGTGACTGCAAACCCCTCTCTTGTCCAAATAACAGATAATATTTTCATGATTAGTACTTTAGGGACAAGTTCTCCAGTCCCTTTTTGAAGAACTGGCTTGAATGTTCATTCCAATGGGATATTCAGTTCCAAAATGCTGGTCTTCCTGGGAATCTGGTTGGAATGAGTTAATTGTGTTATGGAGACTCAAAAGCTTTGGTCATCCTGATTTCTAAACTTGGTACATACCAAGTTAAAACTTCCCATCATAATCAAAAGTATTGAGTTTTTCACACCCCATAAGGACCATGGAAACTATAGAGTTTCAGGTCTTTGTAATTCTCCTGTGGGAAGATGTTTTTCCTCCCCCACCGTTGCTTGGTGGAATTTCCAGACAAGTGGGAAAATGCACAAGGTAAAAGAAGAAATGAACTCTATGCAAAGTGCAGCTGGATGCATGGAGAAGGAATGAATATTGGAAAGAAAGTGCTAATGAAGTGTGTGCTTTTGCCTCTGAACCTATGCAAATGCCATAGTACCAGTTCAAATTCATGGAGTTCCTGCTAGTGGGAAGATGGGATTATGGCTTGTAGGGATAGAAGAGAAGAAAGTATGTGTGTCTCCCTTGGACATTTCACTGGGATCTTTACGTGGGTTACTTGCTAAGGGTTAAAAATAAATGAGAAAGATGAAGTGAAGCCTTTCTGTTGTCTCAGTGCCTGTTGCCCAGGTACTGGTAAATCTGGTTTTGGTTGTATGTTTTACCCTGTTCACGCTTTGGGTTAAGAAAAACATCCAACCTCTCAATATTAGGTAAAAGACCTTGCAGCGGTTGTGTGTGCAGGTAGGGATTCCGGGATGATCAACATCTGGATCTGAGTCCGGGGTCCCGGGGGGTGTCAGGGACAGCTGAGATCCGGTCTCCTGGCCCTTGGGAAGCTGCAAAGCCTGTCGTGAGACAACAAAAGCCATCGGTGCGGCTCGTGGGGGAGAGCATCTGCAGGGCTTTGGCTTTAAACAGCAGAGGTTTCCTCCACGGGTAGTGCTTGCTGCTGCTGCGGTGTGCTCAGCCCCGGGGGGATGTTGGGACCAGCGTCCGTAGCGGTGGCAGGCTGAGGGGCAGCGCGTTCCCCGGGCCATGCGGGGCTCAGCTCCGGCGCTCCCGGCTGTTGCTGCAGCTCCGGGGCAGGAGGCGGGCGGTGTGTGGGAGGGAGGAGGGCCCGGCAGCCCGTGGACTTTGCTCGGATCGCCGGCACAGTTGCCTGGGGAAGGGGGCCGGAGCCGCTGCCGTGCTTCGGACGTTGTGCCCATGGCGGGTGAGCGCGGTGCGTGAGTGGGGAGCGAACGGTGCCCAGGGTCCGGGGCGTTTGTCTGGCTCCACTCGCTGGGTTTGGAACGGGACCTAGGGGGTGTGCTGAAACCAGTTCTCCCTGTCCTGCCTGCTCCTCTCCCAGGGTACCTCCCTGGCCCCGCCAAGGAGAGAGAGGCGCTCCCCTGAGTCCTGAGGGGGATCATCATCAGCCTGGGACCCGTGTGGGGCTCGGCTGGGTCACCTCTGTGGGATCTGTCGTTTGGGGTGAGAGTCAGAACAGAGTTTAACCTCTGCCGAGCCTTTAAAATGCCCTGAGTGTGTGTTTTCCCTGAACGTGCTTGCTTCCCACGTGTGGCTGTGTCCTTGCCAGCAGCTCTTCTTGGGGCTGGATGTGAGGGAATTGAAGCAAAAGCTGACGTTGCATAAATATCACAAGTTTAGTGCTTTTATCTTGTAATAAAGTAATGCTTTTGTTGCTTTTCGTTTTAAGATGTGCTTTACAAAAATGTTGCTTGTGTCAATGCAGAAACAAAACTTCTGCAGCTTTTCTGAAGCCTGCCGGTCCGACTCTGGGAGAAAAATGCTTTGCTCTGTTGCTTTGTGCAGACTAATGAACCTTTTTGACTTGCAGATCTCTTGCCACTATGAATTAAGTCTTGTATGATGCAAATCTCCCTTTCAGTTATGCTTTTCTTACACCTTGATTTTGAATCTTTCCTTTAGATCACGGCTTGCATGACGTTTTTCTTTCTTTTCCTTTCCTTTTGCTGTTTGCAAAGACTCTTGGGAGGATTTGACAGATGTGGTGGAGCAATTGCGCGATGATGATTCCGAAGGTGCGTTCCACACCCACATCTCACAGCTCTCGTTTGTGCTAATCCTTGGCTTCTGCGCTATTATTTTGAGCCTGAGTGCAAATTGCAGTTAGTTTCCCTTTCCAGTGCCAGTAGCTGTGGCTTTCCTGCATTTTCTTGGTGTTGCTTAAATAAATGTTTGTGGGTTTTTTTACTATTTGGACTTGAAGTGGAGGTAGAAGTAGATCAACAAGGGCTATTTGCCTTCTCCTCAATGCTTTCAGAGGCAGTAGTTTCCTGAGCCTGGCAGAAGCACAGCCTAAAAGGTTGCAACAACATATGGAAGCTGAATTCTAAAAAATATTTCAGAAATCACTCTGAAGCTTTAGATTTTCTGCAGTATTTCTGTCTAGATTCTTCAGATTTTCTGGCAGTATTTGCCAAGGCTTGGCAAAAATTATTCTAAAACTTGCATTGCATATTTTTTTAAAATTTGTGAAGTACTAAAAGACAAACTTATTTATAGCACTTCTTCCTTGGTTTTTAAGAAACTGTGCAAACGTGAAATAGTTGAGTCCCCAATGTAGCAAGTGGTTAGTCAGTGTGGTACTTGGATGATTAAATACAGCTGCTCCTGCACGGGATTCAGGTGTTTGCAGCACAAAAGGCTGGTGTTCTCCTGCACTGAGCACGCTGGTCCTTGCTGCTCATCTTCCACCCTGGTGCCTTTAACTCTGTGCTGGTTCCGTGCCCGGGTGCTGCCCGCAGCCTGCTCAGCCGCAGGCCACGTCCTCCTCTCCTGGCACTACAGCCCGTGCTGCTTCCCAGAGAAGGGCATTTTCCAAGGCAGGCTTTTAGGAGAAAAGAGGGGCTTGAGACTTGTTTTCATGAAATATTGTCCAGGTTGTTTGGCGTTTATTTTGTCAGGTGGGAGGTGTTTCTCTGTCACACGGCAGCAGCTGTGTTACATTTCAGCTTACTTTAAGTTGTTGTTCTTGATGTAAGATGGAGAACCATGATGAAATGCTAATGAATTGGCATTGCTTGCAGTGGGTTTGTTCACTTCTCCAATGTCTCCTCATTCCCTGCCTTTGATCCAAGTTTTAGCTTCATTTTAGTTGCTTCCTTCTTTTAGAGTAAGTATGAGGAGTGATAAAATTTATTGTCACCAAATGAGAAGTATCAAGACCAGTCACAGCTTAACCCTTTGAGATCCTGTATTGCATTGACTCTTTCTTGACTTTCAGGTTCCTGGGTGCAGATTTTACCATTCAAACAAATTACAGGATTCTTGAATCCTTTTGGAAACATCTTCGTGGAAGCAGCTGGTTAGAAAAGATGTCTGTTCTGTAGAAGCTGCAGTGTTTAAATACCATAATGTCCTAAGAGGACATGGCTTTATTTAAAACCCAAATCCTGTGAAAAGGCAGAGTTCAAGGGCTGGGGATTTACTTTTTAAGGTTTATGACGTGGGCTGTGTAGGAAAGCCCCGGCAGAGGTTTTGCAGTTAGAGGCAGAAGGAAGTTGGAGAAGGTGCTGGCTCACATGGAGCACACCAGGATCACACTTGTCCCAGCTTAAAGCCAGCCTGACAGTGTACAAGTCAGCCTTGCCTGCCTACCCTGCCTTCTTTAAAGGTGTGCATGGTGCAGTACCTAGGGCAAGAGTGTCAATTGCTTAGCATTTAACATTTGGAATAAACCTTAAGGATTTTATCCAGTTTCACACTATATAAGCTAACTGGTGTGCAAGTTGAGAATCTTGGACAGACTGCACATGCAGAGCACAATTGCTCAGAGTAGACTAAGGAAGCAGAAACCTTGGATTAGTGTGATATGGTGAAAATATTTTTTTATTGAAATTAGCCAGTAACCACGGCCAAAGGAGCATTTTCTTTGGTGCTCTCTTGTACAGTTCCTTTAATTCTGCATTAGGGATGGGTTTGCCCCCCAGGCAGATTCACTGTGGATGCCTTGCTACCCATCAGAGCAGCAGCCTTGGCCAGTGAGGAAATTGATGAGAGAGGATGAGGAGGAGGTCTCTGTGTTGGCAGTCCTGTGCCTGACTCGTTCCTCCACTCCCAGTGATGGTGAGTGTTAGCTACACTGCAGGTCAGGAAATGGATTGGAAATGCAGAGCAGATCACGGGCTCAGGGTACCTCCAGGGCAGCCAGACCCATCACCTTCAGCCAGCAGTAGTCCTGAAAGGCAGTAAAAACACCTCACAGACTTGAATCTTTGTGCTGCTCTGAGCATTGCACTCCTAAATGAGTCCTTGGAAATTCTCTAAACTATGGAGATAAAATTAGAGAAGTAGACTTCTGGTGCTGCTTCACTCTGAAGAAGGGGAATGAGAGAGCACTGCCCTGAGCTGCTTTTGAGGCACTGAACAAATGAGCTGTGCTGTCAGGTTTGGATGCTGGTGCTGCCCCAGTTCTTCCTCTCCCTGTGCTGGATTTTCCCAGCCCACAGTGACGTGCACTGGGTGTGGGTGTCTTAGCTGGGCTCTTGGCTCCCTTTCTGGCTGGTGGGTGCTGACAGGGTGCCTCTTGCTCAGATCTGTAGTCTGAGGTGTCCTCAGCTCGGGTCTCTGCTGCCAGGAGTAGTTCATTAACTCGAGGTGGCAGCTTGGTTCAAGGGTCCCTGGCTGTTGGCAGCAGCCCTGGATAAGTGGGGGATTTACAGGGGTGAAACTGCCTGCACCCGAGACCTGGAGCTCAAAAGTTGGGTGTGAGTAGCTGGCCTAAAGGTCTGGATGTTTGCAATGTGCAAGAGGAAGAATATAATCCTGGGACATCTGTGAGTTTTGGGGTTTAGTATGACCTGTCAGGAGCCATGAAGATCAGCTCCTCACTGGTGAAAACCAGTGGTAGAGTTAAAACCAAGAGAGGGAAGTGGGAGTTGGCTCCATGTTACATCTAAGTTTAAAAAATAGTCTTGAGGAAGAGAGATGCAAGTTGGGGCAGAGATACATGTTGCTGGATTAAGTGTGAGGGGGTCCAAGGTGATCTTTAGATGGAAGAACAATCCAGAACAAAGCCCAGCTGGAGGATTCTTACCAGTTTGTAGCTGGGGATGCGAGTTGGGACAAGTGATGGTCAGAGACACGTTGTCAAGGTGCAAAGCACAGGATGAACACCAGGCTCCAAGTGTGTCTTGTGTTTGAAAATAGGGAGCTCCTGCAGTTATTTGAAGTATTAAGGCACCTTCAGTATTATACATTCTATTCCCATGCCATCGTGGCTTTGGCCCTAAACTGCTAGTTGATGTTGATTTTTCTCCACAAAAAGCCTGCAGAGTGTGCCTCCTGGGAAACTCGCTGCCCCAAAAACGCCTTCAAAGCTGAGGAAAAACAAGAGCAAGGTGGGGTGTTTACTGTAACAAAACCAGCTGTTGTTGCTCCCCAGCAGTTTCCTTGCTTTGTTTTTTGCAGACCCGAATTACCTGATGGCTAACGAGCGCATGAACCTGATGAACATGGCCAAGCTGAGCATCAAGGGGCTCATCGAGTCCGCGCTGAACCTGGGCCGCACGCTGGACTCGGACTACGCCCCCCTGCAGCAGTTCTTCGTGGTGATGGAGCACTGCCTCAAGCACGGCCTCAAAGGTAACCGGCCTGGGCAGCAGCAGGGCTCTGCAGCCTGCAGGGGGCACGGGGGAGGCTGCCGCTGTCACCGCTGTCACCGCAGCGCATGGGCAGGCCAAAGCAAGGCACAGAACCTGCTGGAGGGGGAGGCTGGGCTGTGGCAGGTGTTAAAAGCAGCAGTTCAGTTGTCTTGGTGGAACTCAGTGATCAGGGACTCAACAGGCTTTTGGCAAGCTCGTGACTCCCTTTTCTGCACCTCCTTGTGCTTTGGCCGTGCATCCCCTTGCTGGAAGAGGAACTGCAACCCCAGAGGTCCTTTCTCAATAGCTCTGTCTAAGTGGAGGGTTTGGGCTGTGTCAGCTCATGGCTGGAAGCTGCTTTTAAAGCAGAGCTGGTGCTTGACTGAAATCCTGACTCACAGCTCAAATGGCCAAGTACGGACTGGCCTTCAGGTGCTGCCTTTGGTGGTAGTAGCTGGAGATGGGAAGCAGAAGGGTGTGGATTAGTGCCCTCTGCACCCCAGCCATCCTGAGATTCCAGGATACCAAGTGCCTGCCCTGCAGCAGCCCCAGAGGAACCATTCTGGCAGGATTTGGCTAATTTGTTCACTTGTTTGAGAATGTGTTGTATCAGCACAGGTCTAACAGGCTCATTTTTTATTTCTTTTTGTTTTTTAGCCAAAAAGACTTTTCTCGGGCAAAATAAGTCATTTTGGGGACCTCTAGAATTAGTAGAAAAACTTGTTCCTGAGGCTGCAGAGATTACAGCAAGTGTTAAGGATCTCCCAGGGCTCAAGTAAGTACACTCATTTATTGAACAAGTGCATAATATGGGTTTATTATGAGAGGGATTCTGAAGAAAAGGAAGGGCGAACAGAACCTTCAGGAATACATCTGTCACCTTCTGCAGGTAAAAATGGATCATTGCTCTCTTAATTTTCATCAAGGATCTGCAGCAGGAGAGCACAGGATATATTCTTGCTCTGTTAAGAGCGTGGCAGCTTATGGGCAGCAGTGCATTTCCTGCTTGTGCCTCAGGCATGGAAACAGCCTTTATTGAGCATTTATGAAGTCAGACTCAAGAGGAAGGGAATTAACAGGAAGGCTTTAACAGTTTAAATACTTTTGAGGCTGATGTAGGTAGTTCTTCTTGTAAATAACTTCAGGTAAAGTGTTTGTGAGAGGAAAGCTTAGGCACCAAGCTGGAGAAGGCAGTAGTTTGTGTTCAAGAGGGGAGGCAAAAAGCCACAGCAAGCATATGTTACTTGTAAAAGTTTTGTAGGAATTTCAAACATCACTTTCAGTCTTGCCTGTTTCATGGTAAGAGAAGCTGTAAGAAGCTTTTAGCATGGAATAGAAACAATGGGTAAGGAAGCTTTTGTATGAGGATCAGGAGTAAGGATGGATTCATCTTTGCTGAAAGAATAGGTGGATAAATTCAATCAGTTGCTTTTGGGGTAGCATTTAGTCATGTTCATAGAGACAAGTGCTTTTCCTGGAGGTGTGTGCAGGACTCCTGCAGCAGCTGACAGGAGCAGTGCTGTGCCAGAGCTCCTGGTACCTCTTCCTGTTGTAGAGCGTTGGAATAGGAAATGAATGGAAGCCAAGAACAGTTTTAGGGTGCATTTCTAAACCTTGTGCTCACAGTGACCCTTGGCAAGTGGCAGGTCCTGGTAGTGAGTCGGGGTGGGCAGTGCTGGCCATGGCTTCCTTGGGCTGCTGCTGCTCGTGCCCTGTGAGGTCACACATCCAGGTCAGTGTGTTGGAGCCACGTGCTCCCCATGGCTGGGAGAGCAGAGGGGAAGGGCTGGCACTCGAGCCCCTGGCAGCCTGTGAGGGCATTCAGGGGCAAAGCACCTGAGGAGAAAGAACTGAGTTGGTGTTTCTGAGCTGTCTGCCCACATTGCCATCCAGCCTGACCCACCCAAGGAGTGGTGTTGGCATGCTGGGTTGTGCATGTTCCTGTGACTTAGGCAGAGCTGGTTGTGACTCAGAAGGGGATGAGCTGAAACAGCTGATCTGTCTGGCAGCAGCCAGCAGGGATAAAGCCGGGGAAATCTTTTTAGTATGGCAACAAAAACATCATGAGTTAAGAGACAGTGACAGCCTAATTGGTCTGCACATATTTGTGCTTACATACCTTGTGTTTCTCTGCACCAGTGCCAGTTCTTGCAAGTGCAGAAACTTGAGGTGGGGTGGGGTTATGAGAGCTGTTGGTGACTGTGCCTTGCAGGGTGGCTGGAATTGTTTGGTCCTTTGCAGGACACCTGTGGGCAGAGGAAGAGCTTGGCTTCGCCTGGCTCTGATGCAGAAGAAACTTTCAGAGTACATGAAAGCCTTGATTAACAGAAAGGATCTTCTCAGGTGAGTGCTGGACTCATTGTCAGTTAGGTTCACTTCTGCTCTCCTGTAAGATCCTGATCACCTTTCCCAGCTCATTGCTCTGTATCTCTTGCCTTGCATCTCACAGTGAATTCTACGAGCCCAATGCTCTGATGATGGAGGAGGAAGGTGCCATCATTGCTGGCCTCCTCGTAGGTCTGAATGTCATTGATGCCAACTTCTGCATGAAGGGAGAGGACCTGGACTCCCAGGTACTGCCTGTTCATTTAATGGGCTTGTTCTGTTCCTTTAAGCTGGAAAATTCATTAATTTTGCATTGCTTACTGGTGTAATGAACCCCTGCTGAAGTGCAGCAGGTGCTGATGTTCTAACTCTGACCTTCCACACGTGGCAACAGTGGGTTGGTCTTAGAAACCAAGTGTTTAATGCAAAATGCAAATTTTCCTTCTCCAGGTCGGGGTTATCGATTTCTCCATGTATTTGAAAGATGGGAACAGCACGAAAGGCAGCGAAGGGTAGGTGCACACACAATTGTCTCACTGCTCCTCTCTTGGGAATGTGTGTTCAGGTGTTCCAGGCTGCCTTGTTTCTTTTCTGCAGGGATGGTCAGATAACTGCTATTTTGGACCAGAAGAACTATGTAGAAGAGCTCAACAGACATCTAAGGTAACACGTGTTCTCTTGGCTCTTTATGATCTTGTGGAACAAAAGACAAAACAGGATTTTAAAAAGTGAAGGAATTACTGTAGGGTTTTTTCTCTTCAACAGTGCTACAGTCAACAACCTGCAGGCCAAGGTGGATGCCTTGGAGAAATCCAACACAAAGCTGACTGAGGAGGTAAGTGTCATGGAAAACCACTGGATGCTTTGGCCTTTGGGAGTTAGGGGATTAACCAGGGAGGAGGGGTTCCTTTCAGATGTCTGGTGTACAGAATGAGGGGTGTTAAACAATGGAACTGGAATAGCTGACCTGCCAAGGAATTTCACTGGCTGTCACTACTGAGCACAAGCTAGAAAATCAACTGTATGTTTATGTAAATTGCAATAAGTAAAGGAAAAAATGTCATAAGTGCAATGTACAGCCTGAGCATGAGAAACAGAGGGTACACTAGGCATAGGTGCAGTCTGTGCTTTAACATGGGTCTGCAGCTCATTACTGATGGCATGAATGTCATTACATGTTTTGGGGCCAGTTCCCTGGCAAATGGGTGGCAGGAGGTCTTACCTGGTGCAGGGAGTGCCTTTGTGTGTGCTACCTGCACGGTGGCGTGGTACCAGGGGTGCATTGCAGTGGTGCCTGCAGTGTTTTTGGGCTTTGGCAGTGAGTTTGCAGGTGATGAGCTGTGTCACACACACAGCCCTGTGACAGGCCTGAGCCTGCCAAGGATTCACATTCACACCTGGGAGCTGTCTGTGGGTTGCTCACAGGATAGCATGGCTGATCCCTTGCAGTGTCTCTGAGCTGCTCCCGTGTGTGAGCCACAAAGCCTGAAGGAGTTTCTCGAGTTCCTTTTGCTTTTGACCATGCACTTACATTAATCTGTTGGTCTGCAGTGCTGTCATCCCTGGGAATTCCTCTGGGCCAGGTGTCCCATCCCTAAGGGTGCTGTGTGCTGTTTGTCCTCCATTTCCAGCCAAATCTTCCTCATCTGCTGGGGTCAAGAGAGAGAAAAAAACCAGTGAAGTATGTTTTTGGTGTGTTAACTGCTGTGTTCTGTCCCCAGCTTGCAGTTGCCAACAACAGGATCATTACACTGCAGGAGGAGATGGAGCGGGTTAAGGAAGAAAGCTCCTACATCCTGGAGTCCAGCCGTAAGGTTGGTGTTTGTGTGAGATCAATTGCCGAGCCCTGGGGCCGGCCCAGCCTGAATGCCTTGTTGGGAGCAGAGTTCATTTCCTTGCCTGTCTCACACAAACCCCACAGGGGATTAGAGGAATGGCAGGTGGGAACAGATGGGCCCTGGCCCCAGGGAGTCTGCCTGGCCATAGGGATGGAGCAGGGAGCGTGCATGGAGCTGGGAGCTCCCACAGCTTACAGCTCTCTGGGCAAGGTGTCAGGGGACAGGAGGGAGGGGGACTTACTGTCGGGGGGGACAGGCAAATCAGGAAATAGGAGTTGTGCTGGTTTGTCCTGAGTTGTTGCAGGGAAAAGCCAGTCATGAGGTCAAGTGAGGGCTGGCAGTACACAATACCAAGAGAACTGTGTCTGTTACCTCAGGCCACCAAGGACAGAAGTGCTGACGGGCAGGCGCTGACTGAGGCACGGAAGCAGCTGAAGGAGGAGACTCAGCTGCGCCTGGTGAGGAGCGGGGGCTCGGCCTGCTGGGCTCACGTTCGATACATGCCTGGGGAGAAGAGTGCCTGAGCTGACAGGATTAAGGAAAGAAAATCTTCCCTTAGACCCCCTCCATCCTAAAGACTGGTCCATGCAGAATTCCCTGACTCTCTGCTGGCCGTGCTGCACGCCTGGCTGCGATTCTGGGCTGCAAGCTGGGGAGTTACTGCCCTTAAGGCACGTGTCTGATGTGTGACTCCAAAGTTGTGGCAGCAGCACACTCATGTAGGGACTGCGTGGGCAGAAGGGAAGGGTGGTTAGCCCTGGGTCATGAGGGCAGCTCCTGGAAATGCTGAGGGCTCCTTGTGTTCCAGGATGTTGAGAAGGAGCTGGAGGCGCAGATCGGGATGCGGCAGGAGATGGAGCTGGCCATGAAGATGCTGGAGAAGGATGTCTGTGAAAAGCAGGATGCCCTGGTGGCACTCAGACAGCAGCTGGATGATCTCAGGGCTCTAAAGCATGAACTGTCTTTCAAGCTGCAGGTAGGGAGCTAAGGAAGTGCAGGGAATTCCAGATGAAAGTGGGAGCTGCTGTGCATTTATTCCTCCTGCCTGTTGGAAAGGTGCTGGGTGTGGAAGGGTCACAGGCTGTGCAGTGCCCTCCTGTCCTGCTGTGAGAACACAGGAACATGGTGGAGGGTAAAGGCGAATGCTGTTTCTTCTGAACAGAAGTCCATCATGGTCAGAAGTTTGTGTGTGTGACAGGGGAAAGCACCTTGGGTGGTTTTGTGATGTGAAAAGAGCCGTGGGATCTTGTGTTCCAGCACAGTCTGGTGTGCCCCTGGTGTAACTCCTGTGTGGTGACACAAGCAGACTCCAAACAGCAACACCGCACTGCACTCAGATCCCAAAATCAATCTGACAACAGGAAAGAGTTGCTTTGGCTCTCCTTGAGCCAATGTCTTTGTTCCAAGCAGCTGAACTATATTAAGATACTGAGGATTAGCAGGCACTGCAACATGCAGGAAGCCTCATGGATGGTGGCATTGCCCTGTTGTGGGGTTAATGTCTTTGTTCAAAGCAGCTGGATTATATTAAGATACTGAGTATTAGCAGGCACTGCAGCATGCATTTTCCTTATGCAGGAAGCCTCATGGATGGTGGCATTGCCCTGTTGTGGGGTCCAGATGGAGCCTGCACCTCTACAGTGAGATGTTTGTCCTTGCAGTACTGACCTGGTGTTTGATTTTCCAGCACTTTTTACTGCCTCTTTGCCTTCTGCCCTGTTGTTTTGTGTGCCAAATGATTTATGGGGGTTTATCTGGGATTTCCTACTCCTTACACCAACCCCCACTGCTCCTTTTCCCAGAGTTCAGACATGGGAGTGAAACAGAAGAGTGAATTAAACAGCCGCTTGGAAGAAAAAACAAATCAGATGGCTGCCACCATCAAACAGCTGGAACAAAGGTAAGACAGGAAACTTGAGCCATGATCCACTGGTATGTCCTGTAGTGTAGTGTCCCATGGATCCAGAGTGGGCCAGGGGGGAGTCCCAGTGCTCTGCTAGACAGAGCTGCCTGAGGGGAGCACTGGGAGCAGCACCTCTGGGACCTGGATAAGGAGCAGTGCGCTGCACTCCACTGGGTGCTCTCAGTTTAGGGTTTCTGTAGACAGAGTGGCTTTCTTCAGAACAAGTTCGTGTTGGAAAATGTTTCATGATACCTACTCAGCTAATTCATGTGTTCTTTTTCTCTTGCTGTTCTTATTTTTTCCGTTTTCTCATCATCCTCATTCTGACTTACTTACACAGTGAAAAGGATTTGGTGAAACAGGCAAAAACCTTAAATAGTGCAGCAAACAAATTGATCCAGAAGCATCATTAGACGTTTTTATGTCTGGCCACCTCACAGCTCTGACATCAGAACTCATTTACGAGGGGAGAACTTGAGAATTGCTAAAAGCAACTGTTAAAATGTTAATTGTCACCTAAAGTTGATTTGGAATCTGCCGAGTTTTTAAAATCAGTGAGTTTTTCTGCCCAGATTCAGTCGGGTATACCAGTCCCCAGCCCTGCCATTTGAACCGTGTTCCAGTACCAAGGAGCTGGCCACCGAGCGCCCCGGGAGCGCGGCGGGGCGGCCGAGGTGGCTGCGCCGGGGCCGCTCAGCTCCTCCTCTGTGTTCCCTTTTGTGAAGTAGATGAGAAATGCATCCCTGGAAGTTGTTGACAGTAGTTGTGTGCGTGCCCCAAGCCGTTCCCCGTTCTCTTCTGTTCTGTGGGCCCAGCCCCGAGTCCGAGCCGAGCGGGCGCGACGCCGGCGACTCCGGCCCTCCCGTAACCAGCCTGCCTGGATTCTGCCTTAGGGACCTGGGGGGAGGCTGGGGACTTATCCTTATTCCTTTAAACTTCATGTGTCCAGAATTAGTAGCTATAGGTGTCTTAGAGTAACACAATATAGAGTGGTAAGTTCAGTGGAAACCTCCTTCTCTTTGCGTTGCTTCTACCTCTGCCAGGAATCCCTCCAGACATACCCTGTGGTCCTTCCTGACCCAAGGAAACGGAGGAGAGGAGTTTGGGGAGGTCTCTCCCCTTCCCAGAAAGGGAAGTTACCAGTTTTATAAAAAGTAATCTGATCTTTGTTTAAAGGAAGCAAAAACACATTGAAAAAAGGAGAAGGAGCCCAGTGTGCAGCAGTGGGGAGCGGAGATGGAAATTTGGTCCTTGCCGTTTACTTGTCCAAGTAGTTGGTGGCTGAAAAGAGTTGCCTTTTACACTTCTTGCATTTTCTTGTGAGTTTGCCTTGCTCAAAACAAATGGAATTTGCTAATGGAACAAGAGCTGAAGCTTGGAAACGCCTCTTAATAGGAAAAATAATTGCCAGTTTAAAACCCTGATGCAAAACCTGAAGTAACTGTAGCTTGAACTATTATAAACTAACATTCTCCGGTCATTGAATTCCCTGTGCTGGCCTCTCACAGGCTTTAGGTTTGTAAGTGTTCCTCGAGGTATTTTTTTCTTTTGGAAGGTTGGATTTGGGGAGTTTCTGTGTCGAGTGAGGGTTTTTTTGCTCTGGTGAGATGCCTGTAGTAATTCTTTGGTGCCAGTCCTCCCTTTGACCTATGGGAGGGTGCTCCTTGGGGCAGTGGGTGGCAAATGTGACAAGCCCAGGAGGGAGCAGCTCGGAATGTTTAAAACCCCACGGGGCTCAGCCTGGTCCCCGTGGATGTGAGCGTGGGCCACTGGGGGGCTTCTTCCCTGGGCTCCCAGCACAGCCCTGCTGGGACTCTCCCTGCCATGCTTGAACCTATAAACTCAGCCCTCAGTAACCTGCTACTGGAAACTCATCCCAACTCCCTGGAGAAAAAGTAATCCCAAGGGAAAGGCAGAAGCTTTGACCAAGGTGTGTGAACAGCGGGTTAGGGTGGGCAGCCCCTGCCCCTTGGCACAGTTCTGCTGTAGGAACAGCGGGTTGCATGGTGAGGTCTGTGCTGAAATCAGACAGATTTAAGGATCTGGCTGCTTCTGATGTCAGGCCCCGAGTGGGAATGTGGCGGTGTACTGATGCCTGGGGCTCGAGCCAAAGTCTCCATCCATGGGAGAGACCAGGAACATGCACTAATTCTCAATAGAGTAGCTACAACCTATGTTGCAAGTTCCAGTTACCTGTGCAAAGCTGAAATGTAACGTACATTAAACTCCAATTGGACTTAAAATTCTGTGTACTTGAGGTTTGCTTCGAATCTGGATAAAAGTGATGTTTTCTGTTTCTCATCTAATGGCTGTAAACTGTAGTGATAGAATAAAAACTATTGAAAACAAGAGCTTCTGCCTGGTTCACCTGCATTTTGCTTTGCTTTGAACTTTTTTCCTCCTTTCCATTGTTTTTACCATTCTCTTTTTTTGGCTTTACCTTTTCACTGGGTTTTTCTTTTTATTTGTTGGTTAAACTCAGTCTTCCTCCCCACCATGGCTTTTGTTTTTTATCACAAGTTCATGTGGCTCAAATCCAGATTGCGACAGGCAGAGAAGGACCGGCAGCTGGCCCTGCAGGACAACCGGCTCTTCAAGCAGGAGTTTGGGGACAAAATCAACAGCCTCCAGCTGGAAGTGGAAGAGCTCTCCCGGCAGCGGTGAAGAGACCCTTTTCCAACCTCTTTTCTGGGCTGTTGGTGCCGTGTCCAGGGGAGAGCAGGGGGATGGTGGCAGAGGGAAGCAGCGGATGGAGGAGGGAGCGGGCCAAGTTTTGTCTGAGATGCCACGAGGTGTAACTCCAGGGAGGGAAGTCCTTGCTAACAGCATCACTCGACAGTGGCACAGACTAGTTGCAGATGCCCTACCCCTGGAGTGGGCAAGGCCAGGTTGGACAGGGCTTGGAGCTGTCTGATCCAGTGGAAGGTGTCCCTGCCCATGGCACAGGGTGGAACAAGGTAGTCTGAAGGTGCTTGGCAACTCAAACCTTATGTGATTCTGTGGTAATTGGGAATCCAAAGCTAACATGACAGTTTGTTGCTCCTGGGCAGGGATTGAGCAGCCATGTCTCTGGCTGGAGCCAACACTGAAGGTGCTGGAGCAAGGGCAGTGATTTTGGTTGTCTTATCTGACACACAGTACTTTGACATGGATTTTTTTCCCTGCTCTTAGTTTTGCTGGAACTCCAACAGAGACTTTGTCAAAAGCCATCACATCTTCCCCTGCAGCCTGATCACTTGAGCAGTGACAGGGACGCAGACCAACCTCTTTCCTTAAAGACAAGAGCATCTCCTTCAGCCTTGACCCATCTGTGGCCTGTTGCAAGGTCACTGGGATGAGCTCTGTGGGAGCATTGCTGGCTACATGGAGGTTTTTGTCCCTTCTTCCCCTCCTGGCCCAGCTTTTTGTTTCTTTTTTCCAAAAGCTGCTCTGACAAGCACAAAGAGGCTTTGGTCAGCAATTGGTGCAAGGTCCTGGGTGTGCATGGGTGAGCTTAGGAGGACACGGGCTCATGGGTCTGGTTTTGCATCAGATGGATGCTCAATGATGCCAGAATTAGACAAAGGAGTTGGAGATTTTTCGTCCTGACACGTTACGGCTAAACACACCGCGAGACAATTTTGGGTTCCAAGAGGCAGTTTTAGCTCTTGAGTTAGGGGTGTGAAGAAAGGGTCAGACAGCTCATCAGTAGTCAATGCCAAGTGTCCCCAAACCATCCTTTATTCACAATTCCACCTGGCATTCCAGGAGCCACCTAGAACTGGAGCTAAGGCGGGAAAGAGACAGATGGTCTCACAGTCACCAGCGCAGCCAAGAAAGCAAAAAAGGCTCCAAGAATTGGCTCAGACAGGTAACGTGACTTGGGGTTTGGCTCGGGTTTGAGGTACAGTTTCCCTTGGCTTGTTTGCTGTTACTGAGCTTTCTCAGGCAGTGAATGATTGTTGTTCATGTGCCACAAGCAGAGGAGCTTTGGGAAGGTTTTGATACACTCTGAACAGGCAGTTGAAATTGCAGTGAGATCTGTGCAGTAACAGAGATGGCTTCTGCAGTTCCTTGTTTCTCTCTGGTCTGCTTGAATGGTGCAGGCCATTTTGTCTGTTTTGACCACTATTACACAATTTCAGTGAAGTGCTTTAGGCCTCATGGCTCAGCTGTTGGGGAGAAGAGGATTGTTTTCTTTGCTGGATGGGAAAGTGTCTCTGGTCAGCTTTGACAAAACCCCTTCAGCCCATCTTTGTTCTCAGCCTCTGCAAGTAAGAACTGGTGCCTGTGGCTCCTGGCTCCTGCCTGGGACCCCTGCCCACCTCTGAGAGGCACAGTTCCCTCTGCTCACAGCAGGGAGGAAGCACTGAGAGCTGCTCCCAGGGAAAACTGGGACCCAGATAGCCCTCTGTGCCAAGGAGAGGCAGAGCACTATCCCAAAATAGCAGTGCCAGTTCTCCCCTTGCAGTGAGGCAGGAGGGAGACTGGAGTTCTCCTCTAGTGCAGCTGATGGGTGAGTGTTTCCTTTTGGCAGGATGGGAAGCTCAAAGTCCAGGAAGAAAATGCTAAACTGAAGCAGTTGCTGAGAGAGAACAGTGTCCTGCCACACAGGTAAGGAAGGAAACAAATGTCATCCCTGCCTCTCCCAAGTCCTGCTTTCCCTTCTCCAGTTGCTGTGCCAACAGGGAGTTGGGAATAGTCCAGCTTCCCTTTTTGAGAAGGATTTCCAGTCTTATGCCCTTGGTTGAGTTCTGTGCTGCTTTTCCAAAGCTCTCAAAGGGAAGGAAGAGGTTCTGTTGTTTGCCATCAGTGCTTTCAGATGGGAAAAGCTCTGTGTCTCTCCCTTTTACCTTTGACTTTTTTTCTATCCAAACCTGCTGTTTACTAATTTTTCTGACTCAAGACTCCTTGGTAAGCCAAATGCAAGACTATTGGAACTCATGTCCAGAGTCTCTTTGGTGAGTGAAAGGAGAAGGGTCTCTGGACCTCCTAAAGAGAAGCTGTTGGGGAAAGAGAACTTCAGGTGTGAATTGAAGAAGATGGCTGTGTCAAATTGTGGTTCAGGTCACTTGTTTCTAAGCTGAATTATTACAGAGGAGGATTCTTGCTGCAGGATTTGAGTATTTGACTTTAGGGGTTAAAAGGTGTTTTCCAAGCCCCTGGGCACAGCTCAGTGCTGAGGCTTTGGCTCGGGATGGAGCAGCCCATTGGAAGTGCTCTGACTCTCAGGTCTGTGCTGTGCCCTCGAGGCACTCTCCATTGAGTTAATCAGTGAGTTAATCAATGAGTTCATCAGGAAAATATCCTCTTAAAATAGCACAAAGCACTTCAAATCTGCTTTGCCAGATACTAAAACCCTTCCAGGCCCGAGATGGCTTTTACCCCTGTTGGACCTGGAGTGTTTAAGCAGGTCAGGTTGGTGGTGTACAGGCCTTGTGCTGCTGTACTGTGCACTTCACAGCAGGGGTGGGGATCAAACCTGCAGGCCTGTGTTTAAAGCCAAACTGTTTTGCTCTAGCACCTCAACAGCCTCTTCTGTGTCCGTGCTGCCTCTCTTCTGCTCTCCTGGATGCATTTTGCAATTTTTTCTTCTGCTCTTCCTATGGAACCAGGAGTGCTACTCAGAAATCTGGGGAGGGTTTTAAAAATGGGATGAGGGAATTCCCTGATAGCACAGATGTTTTATTCAAAGGCTCTGGTGAGGGAAGGCCTGCTCCAAGTGATGCTGTTGTTCCCTTGTAGGTCACCCAGCGGCACGCAGGAAGAGCAGGTGGGTGATTCTCCTTCTTGGTGGTTTTGCTCTTTTCCTTGAAATCAGCTGGACCAAAATCCTCTCCTCCTCCTCCGTGTGCCTGGCAAAGCACAGCCAGACCCCCAGAGAGCCACTGGGATGCCTCGTGCTGTCTTGCCCACTGGGAATTTCTGCTGCTGACAGCTTATTCCCAGTGAAAACCATGTTTAGTCCCCCACCCCGGTGCTGCTGAGCTCTGCCACAGGGGCCATGTCAAGCAGAATGTCTTGGTTTTGCCTTGGGCTTTAGGAGCAACCTTTGGGGCCTGGGCACGCCGAGATGTGCCAGCTGTGCCAGGAGGAGGACAGCCGGAGCCAAAGGAAGGTGAGGCCTGCCCTTGAACTGCCATCTCCCACAGCCTGTGACTCAGCTCCCTCTGCTTTTTGTTGTGGAATCACAGATTCCTGCTGGTGAGGTGTTCCAAGAAATGAGCCCTCACAGGCCCCTCTGCCCTTAACAGAACTTCGTTAAATGCTGATGGGGTGATGGTTCCCTGCTCCGCCCTGTTCAGTGCTTTGCTTTTCCTCCCCCTTAGCAGCTTCTTCCCTTCTTTAGCTCAGTGTTTGTTCTTCCCTCACGTGATCTGCCAAGACCTGGAGCTCTCCTTGACTGCTCTGTCCTTTTCCTGCATTCCAGAACATCTGCAAGAACTGTGGGGGCACCTTCTGTGAAGCCTGCTCGGCACACGAGCTGCCCCTCCCGTCCAGCATCAACCCCGAGCGCGTCTGCAACCCCTGCCACCAGCGGCTCATCCAGCAGTATTCCAGCAGCCCCTTGTAGGAACGGGTGGCACAGAGGTGACAAACAGCGGCTGGGGCTGACAGTGTCTCTGGAGTTGCTCAGGGGAATGTCAAGACACTTGCCCGTGTGCTTTGGAGGTCGGATGGGAAGCAGCTTCTTGGTGTTTAGAATCTCCTGTTACTAAAACAGTCTGAGCCCTTAAATCAGTCTGAGCTGTGGAGAATTCCATTGGGAATGTCACATGGGGCAGCCCAAGGTGTGCCTGAGCAGTCTCAGCACTCTGGGAGCCCCTGCCCAAACCAGAGCTGTCATCTGCAAAGCTGGGAGTGTTCTCACCCTCACGTGTGTGGTGTGGGTGTGTGCTGCTGCTGCTGAGCAAAGGCTCCCCAAAACCCAACAGGATTGTTGGTATTCCTCATGTCTGGCTGCACTTGAAATCCCATTTCCCCTTTTCTGTTTGCCCTGGACAGGCTGGCTGATCCTGGGAACCCTGGGCAGGGCAGGTGGGCACCAGTGAACACATCCTCCCTGCATGTCCTTGGCTCAGGGCTCTCAGCAGGGGCTTAGCCTGCACAGGGACACCCCAAACCAAGCTGTGAATGTTCTGTTCTCCCTCTGGGCTTTAGGGGCTGGGCCCAATCCCCATCACACAGAGGTTTAGGGCCTCTTGGATCCACCTTTCCACCTTGCACGCATGGAAATGTTGTTACAATAAACCTGGCATTTCACTGTTTGTTGGATCAAAGCTAAGTGGGAGCACTTTTCACCTGTTGGGAATTTTAATTGCACATAGAGCTCAGAGAGGTTCTGTGGTTTGTGCCACAGCATTTTTTGTTACTGTTCCCTCAAGGGATTTTGCTAGTCCAAAAAGCAGTGGTGGCTTTCTCGTGTCACAGGAATGTTTCCTCCTTTTCCTGCTGGCACCTCCTGCAGCCTCTGAGACCACACCATGTCCTGTAGTTCACAGAAGAGGGGTGCACTGGTGTGACAGATGCACTGGGGTTTGGGCAGATGTTGTAGGGGGTAGTGGTTAATTCCTTGGAGGGGATTTTCTAGTCACTAGATGGGCTGGAACCACACGGGAAAGCCTCTTGGAGCTGAGGTACTGACATGGTTGGTACTGCTTTGTACCAGGAATCATCTCTCCTCCATCCTTTCAGCACTTGGCATGTTCAGCCACCCAACTTCTACTGTTCTCTGCTCTTCTGCCCCCCACGGCAGCTTCCTGACCCATTTCCCTGCTGATGTGGCAGGAGTTGTAAGCAGTGTTGCAATACCAAAAGCCTGGAATTCGGTTGAATTCCTGAGTTCTCTGAAGGGCTGAGACACAGGAGGTGGATGGAGAAAACGCTGAATTAGTGCCAGTAGTTTTGAGTACTTACTGTACACCTGCAGCAGTGTCAGCTCCTGCACCCAACCCCAGTGGGACTCATCCCCTGAGGAGAAAATAAGACCCAGGCAATGCAGAGGGAGCATTAAACTGGAAATGGAGGATTAAAGTCCGTGGAGCAGGGAGGTGGCTGAGCCCCTCCAGAGCACAGCACTGGTGGCTGCCATGGTCCTGGCCTTTTGGAAGGTGGGAGCAGGACTGTGCTGGCTGCTGGCTCCCTCTGTGCTCAGGTACTCTGAGTGAGGCCAGGGTGGGCTCACAGCGGGACCTTGGGAATGGGTGGACAGGTTTTCTGATGTTAATTTTGTTCCACACAATAAAGAACCTTGATCATTCATATCCTGCCTCCTGAGTGGTCTTTCCATCCCATTCCTCTTGGGCTGGAGGCATGAAAGGATTGAGAGCAACAGCATGCACCTGTGTGAGGTCTTAGATCACTCAGCTGTTAATTGGCAATCCTGGTGTTTTATTAATGCAGCCTGATGCACCTGGAGCCCTGAGCTGCTCCACCCTGGAGCCTTGGCCATTCCCACTGCAGCTGCTGCTGGCTGTGCACAGCCCACTCCCCACATTCCATCACTTTTATTACAAGCTCTTACACAAGGCTGAACTAATCTTAGCTTGTCCTCCTCGCTGAGTGGTGACACTTGGACCTGATCTTCACCCTCATATCCACGGAATGTGTTCACTTGGCCTAAAAACAAGGAAGAGAAAAAATAAAACTCACTCCCTTGCTGTGGCTTACTGTTTTTCTTTTTTTCTCCACTGCTCACTGCATTTTCTTCCCAGTTAATCTTCTACTAGAATGAAATAGTGCAGTTTGGCAATAGTAAAACACCCCAGCCTCCAGGTGGGACATGCTCAGGTGGGTCTGCAGCACAGGCACGCAGGCTGGGGGTGTTGAATTCACTCAGCACAAGCACCAACAGGAGGGAGCTGCCAGGGAAGTGTGGGATGCAGGAAAGAGGTCAGACTGCACATCCTGAACCTGCCCCGAGGGCTTCTCCCTGGCCTGGATTACAAAGCCAGGATGGGTGGGCTGCCCTCCCTGCTGCAGGGACCAGGGCAGCATGCACCTGTGTGAGGTCTTAGATCACTCAGCTGTTAATTGGCAATCCTGGTGTTTTATTAATGCAGCCTGATGCACCTGGAGCCCTGAGCTGCTCCACCCTGGAGCCTTGGCCATTCCCACTGCAGCTGCTGCTGGCTGTGCACAGCCCACTCCCCACAGCCCATCACTTTTATTACAAGCTCTTACACAAGGCTGAACTAATCTTAGCTTGTCCTCCTCGCTGAGTGGTGACACTTGGACCTGATCTTCACCCTCATATCCACGGAATGTGTTCACTTGGCCTAAAAACAAGGAAGAGGAAAAATAAAACTCACTCCCTTGCTGTGGCTTACTGTTTTTCTTCCCAGTTCATCTTCTATTAGAATGAAATAGTGCAGTTTGGCAATAGTAAAACACCCCAGCCTCCAGGTGGGACATGCTCAGGTGGGTCTGCAGCACAGGCACGCAGGCTGGGGGTGTTGAATTCACTCAGCACAAGCACCAACAGGAGGGAGCTGCCAGGGAAGTGTGGGATGCAGGAAAGAGGTCAGACTGCACATCCTGAACCTGCCCCGAGGGCTTCTCCCTGGCCTGGATTACAAA